CCTCTCTCTCTCTTTGGTAGGCCCCCCCCTCCCTCTCTCTCTATTTCTTTCTCTCTCTCACACTCATAACAATAAATGGAACAAAACTCTCTCTCTCTTGTGTTAGCTCTTAGTCTCATTGATTTGGCTACTTTAGGGCTGCGTTCCCCGCGCCCACGCGGTAGACAATGATTATGCTGTATGTATGTTTTGTTGTGTACTCTGTACACAACGCGAAGAGAGTGTGTGTGGGGTTCCGGTTGGTGCTTTATTCACGATGTTCATGGGACACTGGACCCAGTTTAGACACATCTGTGGCAAGCGTCGTTTCGGCGTTTTTCGCCCCCGCCCCCGCGCTCTTTCCTTTTTGAAATTTGCAGCTCAAGGACCGCGGCCTGCGCCAACCCAATGCGTGTGCACGGTCCCACGAGCAACTACCGGTCCAAAAGAAACTGCCACTAGCTGCCACTAGCCCCTAAAGTGACCTGCCTGCACGTGCCTGCATTTTTGGAGCCTTCCAACGACCAACCAGCCGGAATGAACGACCGGTAACGACGAAGACGAAAAATGTCTTCCGGGGGGGAAAACGCAACCCTGACGGGCTGCGAACACAAACCACCATGTCAATCATGATGGGCGGTAGTATTGACCGTGGACGAAAAATGTCTTCGGGGGGGAAAACGCAACCCTGACGGGCTGCGAACACAAACCACCATGAAGGTCCCACTTGCACGGATTAAGAGATTCTAGCCGTCGATCTCTGCTATCTACAGTCAATATCGCATAATTCGTGTAAGTGGGACCTAGCCCCAGCCCACACTGGCGGCGGTAAGGTGCGCTTGGTGGTGGATTTGTCTTGCTGGCAAATCACATCCCGCGCGCAGCAATGCCGCCACAGAAGGCTGTGAACAGCCACGTCAACAAAGACCGCGCACCTGCTGGGCGCCGCCCTCACCCGCCACGGCTACCGAACTATTTGCCACGGCGTCTCCCCCGAGGCTACTGCCAAACCAGGCCGCTGTGTATAGTCAAAGTTTTACCGCTCCGGTCTTCTTTTTTGTTTTGTCGTTTTTCAACTCGTACGGAAAATAATGGCCCCGTGAGCTTGCGGTCTCCCGCTCCCGCCATTTCAGCAGGGGTGATTTGCGCCACTGTATTTTGAAACAGGGCTTGCCTCTGGCTAACTACGGCTAACTACGGCGGCTGTTAGTGCGCCAGTAGAGATGTCTACTAACGTAATGATGCCGCCTTTTCCCTCCGCGTCGCGCCCGTTCTCCTTGTCCTTGTTTAGACCCTCCTGCTCCTTGTTGTGTAGGGCGGCAGTCGGTCAGTTTCACCGCACGTTCCACTCGTCTCCGGCGGGCGCAGCGCGCGGGAGGACGCCGAGTTGGCTGCCCGAGGCGGCAGGAGTCGAGGGGACCGCTCAAGTGGTGCCACGTGGAGGCTCGTCCTTGCACCCGCGTCCATGCTCATCACGCCAGCATGAGAGGTTTGTAGCGTTCCAAAACGGCTTGCGCAAGCAGGAGGCAACAGGGAATTGCCGTGGCGGCGGTGGCAGCAGTACTATTTATTGTCTGCTGCCATCATCCTCGTCTTGTCGGCAGCCGACGATCGGTAGTGGTAATGGGTTGAGTTCGGCCTCGGATCGCGGCTGCGCGGGTTCGAGTGCAGTAGCCTCGAGTGAAATCGGCGGCGGCGGCTGCTCGGCGTTCTGTGGGAGAGAAGACGCCAGCGGGGGTCACGTGCGCGGCGGGTTGCCGTCTGGGTTCCTTCGTTGTAGAGGAGGGAATCTCCGGGGGAGCTGGAAGCGTTCCCCCTCTTGTTCTTCGGCTCATGGTGGTTCTTGCTACACTCATGCTTCTGGTCAGAGTGATACCGGCTTGCTGAGAACTTCGACGGGCGGAGTGGGAATCAAAGGGCCAGATCGTCTTCGGCTATCGAACGGGGTAAGTGGCCAGCGAGGCATTCTAGCCTGTTCTGTGCAGCTCGGAAGAGAGGGGATAGGTATGGCGGAAGCTGGTGCGGATGCTGCGGCCGTGCTTCCTCCGGGTGGCGGCGATGGCGATTCGGCAGCCAGCGCTCAGCAGGTTTGTAATGTACTTCACTCTTGCTCTCGCACTTCAGTTGGTCTGTGAATGGTGTCACTCTCTGTCGCGTTCCGCTCTCGGTCAAACAGGTTTACGCCCAGACACACACACACACACACAGACACACACACAGACACACACACAGACACACAGACACACACAGAGACACACACACACACACACACACACACACAGAGAGAGAGAGAGAGAGAGAGAGAGAGAG